CCTTTTAGCTTGAGTTTACAACTCATTTTTATTCACAACGCAGATTTGGATTCGCATACAACCGCTATGATATTTAACTCCTGCCAGCTAGCCTACCAGAAGTGGTAGAAAACCGTGCCAAAGGTTGTTGAAGTGTTCATTCATAATAAGCTTTATAAATATATTTACTGGGATTTTGGGTCCCAAAGACCAGGGGCTTTCGGGCAGACAAAAAGGCACAATCGTCCTCAGACTTTGAGGAATTTGTTCAGTTTCAGGACGTGTTAGGATAAATTGATCGGATCAAGTATTTGACATATCACTCCTGTGAATCACGTTTTCACTGTGTATTTTTCCACCACGAAAATACCTATTTCCACTTGAGTGCTGCATTGCGATAGCTGTTTTCCATATAAAGTTAATTTCCTCTATATTAAAGATAAATGATTTGCCTTTCCCAGGAGCCGTTAACGGCTCTTGCCTTTCCTTGAAATGTACGTACCAAATGAAATAAATTCATCACTTACGAAATCGCTCGTTCGGGATCCACATGTACAGCTGTTGTCATTCTTCGAAGAAAAAACAATTCATTAGCCGAATTTTCAGTCAACATCGCTTGTTAGGAGAAAAAAGAAGGGATACCTGGATTTACGAAGACCAAAAAAATGCAAAAAACACTTCAAAAAATCGCTTAAAAACAGTGGATTTATATCTGCCGAAGCTTGCGAAGGAGGACGACGTGACTGAACTGTGTTTGGCGTCGTCAACGAGACCACGACGACGAAATTTGCTAGCTGCGCTTACGCAGTACACTGTGTCTCACTTCCGGTCATCTTCGACCAGGTCGTCGTCGTGTTCCCTAATGTCTGCTATTAAACGTATGTTTTGACCAATAAAACAGCCTTTGATATATCCCGTCTGATCCTCGTGTATAAGGCTGGGTAGCACTTTCGCAATTCTAGTTGCGATTGACTTAGTGGCAACTTTATAGTCTGTGTTCAGAAGGGAGATAGGCCTCCAATTATCCAGAAGAGTCCTGTTTTTATCTTTCTTTGGAATTAGAGTGATGAAATCTCTCTTTTGAGAAATTGTAATTTCAACCTTCTCAAACGCATGATTAAAGATGTCAACTAATTTTTGCCTTAATAACTCCCAAAAGGAAAGATAAAATTCCGCAGTAAAGCCATCCGTACCGGGAGACTTGCCTTTGGAAAAACTTTTAAGTGAGACATAACATTGTTCTTTTGTTAAAAGACCGTCGCAGCTGTCAGCTTGAGGTGGAGACAGTTTTTGAAGGGTTGAACTGTCGAAAAACACGTCAAAACGAGGATCATTTGGGTTTGTACGAGAAGAAGTGTGGAGCCTTTTATAGTATCTGTGCTCTTCATTTAAGATTTCATCAGGGGAAGTCAAAGTGCAATTTTCAACTCTTAGTTTTGTGATGTACTGATTGGAGTGATTTCTTTTCTGTTCACACCACCTAGCCTTACTCCGAATCATTGCGCCCTCTGTTTTGTGCAATGAAATCTGCTCTAGTTTCATTTTGATCTCGTAATAGTTTGCAGTAGTCTCTTGTGTAGGGTTTTCACACATAAGCTTGTGAAGTGAGGACAGCTTTTGCTGCAGCACTGCTTCTTTAGCTTTTTTCGTCTTTGCATTTTGTCTGCAATAGTAAATTGTAAAGCTTCTTATTTCCATTTTCAACATGTCCCAATAAAGTCTTTTATCCTCTAAATAGTTGTATTTTTGTTTGTACACTGGAATTTTTTAGCTCAAACCCTCGACGAAGCACTGATCATCAAGGAGTGAGTTATTGAATTCGAAAAATCCTGGTCCCCTTTTTTATGAAATTATCGGACTGGATGTTAAACAAGACGGCCGAGTGATCGGAGAACGAAACGGGAATGATGTTGCATTCTTTTACATGTGGAAGTAAATGTTCTTACACCAGCCAATAATCAAGCCTACACTGAACAGCTGATGATTGGTGATGCCAGGTGAAAAGTGATTCATTAGGATGAAATTTTCTGCACATATCAACTAAATTGAAAGAATTCGTTGGACTAAAATGTTGTTTCTTTTGTTCAGTGGGTCGCCACCCCTTTTTATCCTTGGGTGTTAGGCAACAATTTAGATCGCCACCAATGTAAATGTTTTCATCAGCGGATTTTCGTATACGCAGTTTTAAAGATTCAAAAAATCCCACTTGGGTTTTGACATCCTTTGGGACATAAACATTGATAACAGTGAATCTGCAGTCATCGATTTTATAGCACAGAACAATTTCCCTGCCCCTCTTTGCGATTTCAACATGTTCCACATCAACGTCGAGCGATGGGTGAAACAGGACAAGAGTACCACAACAATTTTTTTGTGTCGTAACAAGACACTACTTTACCACCCCATTCGGCCGACCACGTTTTTCCTATATCTCGCGAACTATAAACCTCCTGGAGGAAGATGATTTGGATGAAGATGACTTGCTTCCTTTTACACTCATTATTTAAGCCTCTCACGTTGGTCTTTTAACTAAGACTAACCAACGTAAGCGAGCCCAAAGGGAACGAACAGAAAAAATGAGAGAAAAAATTAATTCTTACAATGCTGACTCTGATAGAAAGATATAGGTTGCGAATTATGGCCTATACAGCTGCCCATTTATATACAATTTATCAAAACTAAAGTTGCAGTGTGTCCCTTCTTCTTGGCGTCTTTTAAGGCTGGTACGAGAAGCTTTCTTTTGTCCATGATCTCTTTCGGAAAGTCACGCGTGACCGAAAATTTGGTATCACGGAGATTCTTGGCCTGACTAAAGACAAATTCTTTGTCTTTATTATACGTGAATTTCGCGATGAGCGGTCTCGGTTTGGATTCAGTAGAGCTGGACTTTCCAATGGGGTGGACGCGTTCAAAAGAAATATCATCTACGTCTTCTAAAGAAATTTAAGTTGTTGCGGCGACTGTTACTTTCCAGCTTAATTGCTCTTTCCTTTTCATACGCTGCTTGTTTGTTAAAGACTTCACACCTTTCTTAAGCTCGTCGATCGCTTCATCTTGTACGGCCAGCTTCTCCCTTAGCTCTTTAGTAGAAGTATGAGCGAATTCTAAACTGGCTTCCAATTGCTTGTTCTTTTCCCCAAGGCTTGTTTGTTTTTGCTTTAGTTCTTTGATGTCTTCAATGCAGCTTAACACGCTGTCAAGCTTTGCTTTCATCTCTGCGATTGATTCCGCCATATTGTGACAAGATTCACAACATTCTTCACAACAAGATTTTGAACCTTTGTTTCTTTTTCTTCTTCGTTTTCGGCTCGCAGAGTCTTCCTTGGTAGCAGCATTGTCGTCTGACATTTTTCTCGGCTTTGGGTACCGCGAAGAATGAAATTACATGCTGTAAAAATCGGAGAGCATAACAGTGCGTCCGACCTCTTCGACAGTCGCCGTAGTCCAAAGGCAGAATTGACTGTAGTGGGTAGGCTGTAAACCGTCGACGAACAAGGTGCTGAGAACGGCAAACTAGCGGAGGAAAACACAGAGACAAAAGGTGGAACAAAAAGAAACGATGACGTACCTGGCAAAGCGTTTACCTGCGAACCCACTTGCAGAGAAGTGGACGAGGTCGAAGCATTCAGAGGCAGGGACCCAGCAGCAGTCGATGACTGAGATGCCGCGCTTATGGTTTAAGACTAAGGATGGTGCATGCCAAAGGCGTCCAAATGTGCCGCGCGATTAACCAAAGTTGACTCCAGCGACCCTTGAACAGAAATGGCGGGAAGGCCTTGCATAGAAACGGAAGGAGCGCCAACTGCGGCAGATAACGACTGCTGTACGATGGCCGAAATCGGTGTCTGAATGGGCTGAATAACCGAAGCTAAATATTCTGGCGAAATCGATCGAAGCAGAAGCCCAAGTACCAGGCACTAGAGCAGGTGCTGAAGCAACCGTAGGTAAGGACGTGACGGCAGAAGTCGAACACGAAGAAGATGCAACCGGCAATGAGCTCTCGAAACTATTTCTCTTACGACGAGGCGACATGGCAAATGATGAAGGCAAACAGACACAAAAAGATAAGGCAAAAGGAGCCCAGCACTCGGCGTTGGAATAATCCGGGCGAATTGAAGCCAAAGAGACAAACAAAAGGCAAAAAAGCAGCAAAGGCAACTCGAAGCAAGCCACGAGGGCAATACTACATGGCAATGGCTTGAATGCGGATGCGCAACGCGATCACCTGCTGACAACAGGAAATCTCCCAGTTAACTATGATTATTGATAATCTCATTAAACCACATAAAATGACTTGCTAGGGCTTGAAGAACAGTGACAGCACTATTTTAAAAAAGGGGGAGCATAGCGTTTTCGCTGTCATAAATATCCATTTCAAACTGCTCCCCACAGTCGCTATCACAACTACAAACCACAGATTACCTTGACAATCGTTACTAAATGTGGATGAATCACTGTCACTGTCTTGAATTCCGAGCGTTGCAGTTGATATTCTATCGGGTGTTCCGTCATTACGTAGTCACCAAGCAAACTCCAGCTCATGTTATCGATCGCACCAGTTTGGCCAATTTCGCTATCAGTGCAGTCACTAACGCTTGTCGAATCTACCCAACGTCGACGAAGAGGACGATTTATTGCGGTTTGGTGGTACCATTATTGGTGATGGATAATACGAAACCGTCTTTACAAAGAATTTGTAAGGCTTTTGGTTGGCTATTTTTGATAATGTGACAACCTCTTACCATATACATGTATATACAACAATCCAGTTGATGCAAACGAACAGCGAGAAATTCGTTCTTGGCGCTCATTTTCGATAACTAGCTACTCCATTCATATTACGTTTTCGCGGCCGCTTTCAAAGAACTCGAGAAACGGAAGATCACTTGCAGACCATAGTCGGTGAATTTCTAGATATATTGAAGAGGAACTCAAACATTTTGTCCAGCGTTTTGCAAACAGCGAAAGCTGAGAGTATGCTTAACTCAAATGGACATAAAGGACAAACAGGATTGCTGAAAAACCCAATCACTTCTGATTCATTTAGTATTTGTACCTCCTCCAGTCCTGACGAGGAGGCTGCTCAGAATTGGGCGACGAATAGACCTAATTTTAGTGCAGGTGACCTTCTTGCACGGCCAGCATTAAAGGGCGAAGGCTCGAAGGCTCAACAAACACTTTGGGTGAGTAAGTGCAATTAAACTTGACCTCATAGGCATCCGGTCAGGTCAATGAAGAAACGGTTGTGTAAAAATGTTTGAAACAGCCTACAGGTAGCAAACGCTCTACGAGTTTAATGTATTCAACAAAGATCTCATTTTAATTTCGATCTGTTCTGTTTGCTGCCTAGATACAGGCTTGAGATGTATTAAAAAACACGGCCCTGCTGACAAAGCAAAGCAAAGCAGTGTACTTTTTAAAATTTCAACACTTTTCTGACAAGCTAAAACTCTAATCAATGTTATCCATTTATTTGGTACATACTCCGGCTTGAAAATCAACCACGAAAAAACGGAGGTCCTACTATTTTGTAATAAATAAATTGCAGCAAGAAACTATGAATTAGAGGGCACTGAATTTTCTCAATACGACTTGATTGTATCTTAATAATAAATTTGATTTTAGTGAATAGTACTGTTAAACCCACAAGAGGGAATTTAAAATTAGAAATGTGACATTAATATTTCGCCTACAGTTTTTCATAGGAAAAGGTTTGCCTCATCAGCCCCTCAACATACTGCCTCCCATAGATTCCCGAGCCTTTTTATCGTAGGGAGTTTTTTATATTTTGTTTTCGAATACATAGAGTATCACCAGTTGCTTTTATAGCAGACTGAAAATACAGAATTTTATTGCAGTTTACCCAACAGATTACAAATTTTCAAAGAAATTCTTCATCTATTCTAGCCAGAAAATATTTTCTAATATGTCAAAAATATAAAAGGTAATTTTACCGAAACGAGTCTGCCATCCCATAAGATAACAGTAATTAAAGAAAATAACCAAAGGCGCGCTCCTCGGCACAAGAAAAATGCTGTGCCACTAATACAAACATTGATCGGTGAAAAAAAACGTTGGTCCTGACTCTTGTTAAAACAAAGACAAAAGTAAATAAAAAATGCAAACTGGTTTGTATTATAAATAAAACATTATTTGAAAAGAAAACATCCAATAAAAGATTACAGTATACAAACATAAGATAAAAGTCATCACAAAATCATTGATAAAAATGTATCCAAAATTAAAAGCCTTAGGCTTGGGTAAAAAAAAGAGGGAAAATTGTTCAAAACAATGCTTGAAACGTGTCTACATTATGTTTCCAATCACATTTGCGATTTCTTCCCCGCTAAAATCGGTGTTCAACTCATGTTTAATTGTTCTGGAGCCTCTTACACATAAAACTGCTGATCTCAATGGTTAAAACATAGTTTTCCTCTCAACCAATGAATCACAATGCTATAATCCATCTGCTTCTTATCGGATAGGTTTTGAGCTAGTTCTGTAGGAAATCTCTCGGCTTCTCTACCGTTTCCACCATATGGTGAGAACACGAGAGGGCTGAAGGAGCCATGCTCGACTTCAATAATTCGCTGGTTGTAGTGTCGCTTATTCTCGTTCTCATCGCTCAAGAAAGCCGTGTCAACTTTCTGGTTAAGGTGACTCTTTGCAAACAGGTTAAAAACCCTGACATCAAAAATGCACGTTTCCCCCTTTGCCAAAAAGCGCGCGCGCTGACATCCAAACAAGCCTCATCATAGGAGTTGGCACTGCTGATTAAAACTTCTCCTGTCAAAGGCTGAAGGTGTGGCTTGACCTCATCATGACATACGTCCTTGAGAAGGGATGTGAACGGGTCTCGCACGTCGTCATGCCTCCTATGGACAAATCCGCCTTTCATATACGACATTGCATGATCAACATCGAATCTGTTGCCTCNATCCATCTGCTTCTTATCGGATAGGTTTTGAGCTAGTTCTGTAGGAAATCTCTCGGCTTCTCTACCGTTTCCACCATATGGTGAGAACACGAGAGGGCTGAAGGAGCCATGCTCGACTTCAATAATTCGCTGGTTGTAGTGTCGCTTATTCTCGTTCTCATCGCTCAAGAAAGCCGTGTCAACTTTCTGGTTAAGGTGACTCTTTGCAAACAGGTTAAAAACCCTGACATCAAAAATGCACGTTTCCCCCTTTGCCAAAAAGCGCGCGCGCTGACATCCAAACAAGCCTCATCATAGGAGTTGGCACTGCTGATTAAAACTTCTCCTGTCAAAGGCTGAAGGTGTGGCTTGACCTCATCATGACATACGTCCTTGAGAAGGGATGTGAACGGGTCTCGCACGTCGTCATGCCTCCTATGGACAAATCCGCCTTTCATATACGACATTGCATGATCAACATCGAATCTGTTGCCTCAAGGACATGTAGATGGAAGGTATTTCGGTGTCCAGCGGTACCTAAGGCTGAGTAATTGCACAGTTAAACACAAACGACAGTTATACCAGCAATACTGGTGAATTTTTGAATATTTGAAAAATAAACTCATCAGTGCTTTAGTTTGGTCTGTTGCTCCCTCAACTTCAGTTGCTGTGATGCCAAGAGATCCTGCTGCTGCTGCTGTTGTTGTTCTTGTATTGGCCGCATCATTTCAATTTGTTGTTGCTGAAACTGGCGTTTCTGATCAATGCTCGCCTATAGACGTTTTGCATCCAAATCGTGTTGCTCTTTTTTCAGCTGGGTTTCCTCAAGTTTAAGTTGCTGGCCTTTTCTCCCTGTTTTGGACAGGAACAACATGGTCTCGATGCCACATCTCCGTTCTCTTTTCTTAACTTTTTCCTGATCGTTTCCGCCAGAATGTCTCTTCATCGTCCCCGACACTTTTTTTATCCTCGACAACACTTTATTCCACATTTACATGCAAAGGAAAAAATACAAAATTGTAAAACAAACCAGAATAAAGTAGGAAAATCACAATTACAAAAGTTGTCGAACATTCGAATTTAAATTATCTTTACGCGTATACATGTAAAAACAGTAACTTTTATATACACCTATTTCAATTAAGATTGCGTCGGCGAAGAATTATTCATGATGCATGATCCATGTTTCATAGCCCGCGGTGCATTACAGGAGTAAACGCAGTTTGTAACATGCCAGCGCCATACTCTGAAGACCTCCGTTGGAGGGCGATTTGGATCAGGCATTTTTGAGACCTGTTTCGATCTTAGGTTATTCAAATGGACTCTTAGGCGTTACTGGCATGGTTATTTTGTTTCGGGTGATGTGAAAGCAAAGAAGATGGGAAGACCTCTTGGAAGCTTGCATTTCCAGCTGCCAGAAGAAATTATCATTAATCAAATTTACAGAGGCACAGGCTCCGAATTCGCCCTTTCCTCTCTTCATTATTAGTTCCAACACAATGGAATAACACGCAAAAAGGTAATCGATGTTTCATGATCTTAATATTTGCCTTCCGCTTGCGTGGTTTAATATGCCTTATATTAACCTAACGATTTGTCAAATTTATAGGTTCGACAGATTGGGTTGCAGACAAATGAAGAACGTCGGCAAATGTACTGGGCAAATATTTGTTTGTTTGACGCTGATATGCTAGTGTTTTTGGACGAGAGTGGATTTGTAAGTTGCCACGCGACTGACTTACATGTACAGTCATATCGCGTTAAATTTTTTTTTTTTTTTTGGAAGTGTTGATCACCAGCCAAGGAAAACCCACAAATACTTAGAATAAACTATTTTGATGATATAGCTGACTTTTTGTCCCCCAATTGGCCAATTTGACGCCAAAGAAAATGTTGCCTCAAAATCTGCCTCAGCAAACCTGGAAGATTTTTTTTGTACCACTTTCTCTTTACTCAGGAAATTCGTAAATTATTTAGCTCAATGTGCAAAGTGCAGTGAGTTTTTGTTTCACGTGCTTTTCCCGTTCTCGAATACAAGTTACTGGGCTTAACTGAATTCCTGTTGTTGTTGTGGTTTTATACTTCGCTCATCGTAGCGGCGGGCCACATTAACCTTGTATCATCCTATCTTGCGTGTTTTCAACACCTAAAAGCATAATGTATGAGAAGACAAAATGCCAATTCTTTTGAGAGCATCTCTTGGTCTGCATTGAGAAAATAAAACATAGAAGTCGAAAAGGTCCATTTGACTTGCATTTTTGTAAGATAACGAAACTGAGAATTCGCGGCTAAATTTCCAGTGCGTAACGGTAATGAATAAGGCATGTTTGGGTTGATCAAGAATGGTGAATGTGTGATCAACCCGAAAATATGGCCATGGAAGGATTTTTAAGCGTTTTCGACGAGGAAGTGCGACACTACATTCGACACTCAGAATATCTGTAAACTAACATGCACTCGACAGGGACGTAATTAGTCAACCAGCCCATAAACTGACCTGTTAGCCCACTAGTACCTATGTTTTAGGTCTGCCGTGCTTAATTTGTACTTATCATTAAGCGGGTCCCGTCCTCTAGTCTCAGTGGCCCACCGGCGGCGACAAGCCACTATGTATACTAACCCTCCCTGATCAAAGTGGCAAGATTTAGGTCAGGCTGTGATTGATTGACATTTAACTATGTGTTTGATAGACCAAGAAATAAAAGCCGACTTTTTTCATGCAATTTCACGATTTTTATTATTCAGAATTATTATGCCCACAAAAATAAAAGAGGGTTCTCTTCTGTGTTTTTAACTTTCCCAACATAAATTTGGTTTTAATATTAGTAATCGTTGTCAGAATTATTGATTTCACAGTATAACAAAACAGTGTAATGAAACACAGGATTATGCCTGTTTACTGGAGCCCATTCAGCTCCGTTAACAGGTTGCGTTTCTGATTCTCGAATTGTGCGGATCCAAGACATCGGCATCCTTTAAATCTTTCAATTCTCGTAACTGTCTTAGGATTTCTCCACGAAGCTGCACCTGAAAAAGAAGACGTAAATTCCTAATTTATAATTCATATAAATAGGCAAAAGCAATACATTCGTTTAAAGGTTTCTCGGCTTATGGGGGAAGGGGGAGTTTATCGTACTCATATTCCTAACCTATTTAATTCACAACACCTTTTTCAATATATTTCCCACCCACCCCCCCCCCAAAAAAAAAAAAATTGTTATTAACTTTTTAAAATTCGTAAGGCCCTGACTATTAGGTAATACTTCACCTTGTTCTGGTTGGCGGTGTGTGCTGCAGACCCCTGCTGTTGCTTCGGCTTTTTGCCCATAAAAAACGAATGCTGAGGACATTCGTCTTCGCTGCTCCACACTTTATTTGCCTGCCAAGAGGACGGAATGAACAAATGACAAGCATCTTGTAAACCACAAAAATTGTTCGATCAGAAAACACTAATAGGCCCTTTGTAGCTAGCCATTCACGTGGTACAAAACTGCCGTGCTGGAGAGAAAAAGTCGCCCTGAGACAAGACAAACAAAGGAAATTGCTATTTAAAATTAGGTATGTCTTTTGTTTGTCTTGTCCCAGTGCGACTTTTGCTCACCAGCACGGCGGTTTTGTACCACGTGAATGGCTGGCTGCAAAGGGCCTATTGGTTCTGCAGAAATTTCAAACTACTAATGCTGAAGCCATTACTTAAGCCATTTTTACAGCCAGATTTAACTTGAAAATTGAAGAAAATTTTCAACGAATCGTCTTTTTCTCGCACATCAGCTATAGCTAGGATCCGACGAAGGTGATGGCAACGAGAACGTAAAAAAAACAATAGGTTCAGTGATTAGCGAAATAACAACACTGCACATGCATCACGTTTTTTTTGTACACTTCTTTGCCTTCACTGCACGACTACGACGTCAAAATGCTAAATTTAACGTTTTGTAGAGCACGTAAGCAAGCAACGACGAAATGTTTTCTCTATCGTAACTTGAATAAGGTTCTTAGGAGTTTAACTTTAAGAAGAGTTCTACTTTTACCAAAGTAAGAGAATTGGAATAATTAATTGGCAGCTTTGACTTTCGCGCTTACAATATAATTCTTTAGCTCAATAGCACTAGTAAATTTTGGAATATGTCTTAAATGGAAACTTTCTTTCACCGCTTTCTTATTTTCCGTTCGGATTTTGAGACAGATGTTTATTGTCTCCATTTCGCGTGCTACTGCGCACAGGAATACACGAAGTTAAACTTCCCGCTTACAAAGAGATCTACCACAATGCACTGCAGGCTATGAAACTTGGATCATGCATCATAAATCATTCTTCGCCGAAGTAACCTTAATTGAAATGGGTGTATATATATTTTTACACAACAAAGTAAGGTAACTGACGAAAACTATATTTGCCAGTATGATTAATTATTGGACATATATTATTCACACACATATCCACAATGGATTTTAAGTTGCGTTGAAGCCTTTTTTTCAATGAGGCGCTAATAAGCCTTCTTGCAGAATTTTGTGTAGGATCGAGGAGTTTTAGTCGCATCTTTGGTTTGTTGGTTTCCGTTGATGGGCGAACATATTTATTTATACCTCGTTAGAGTAGATACACCTTTATAGTTCTCAAGATAGTTAGTTTTAACGTTAAATTTCCTTACGAAATCATCAAAGCCTTACCACACCTACTTTAAACCATGATTTGTAAAAAAAAGGTTTCTCGATCGTAATCAGTGCGTTGTTCCAGATACGAGTTGACTCCAAAACTGGGTTCTCACTATAATTTAAGTTGGACCAGTATTCTATTTCTTTTACAAAAGGGTCTCATATTTTCAGCTGTGATGCATCTTTTTGTTTTAAATTGCGCGACAACAATAATTTCCCGCCGAATGACTCTCCAAGTACCAATCGAAAAAAACTTTCTATTTGCCTTTGTTCTCTTTGTTTAGGTAGCTTTGAACCCATTTCGTCACGGGTAACCCAGGCTCTCTGATAGTACCACAGTACGGTTCCATTAAAATTACGGTGTTTGTATGAGGTAAAAATATCATCCTAAAATTTGTAGGAAATACCAAATAAAGGTCAATGAAACTTACTCTACAGTTAGTTGTTGTTGTCCTTAATGCTCCAACAAGTTTCGTGATACTTTCTTCAAATTATATCAATCAGGGCACGCCTAAGGTACCGAATGAGCTCCTCACGAAGTGAGCAAGATGGAATGTCTCGTTCGAATACCATTTCGGTTTGCTTGCAGTTTATACTAAATAATACTATTTAAGATCCAGGCCTGGATCCTAAGTAAACTTATCACGTGATGCCCTTTCTGCAAACTGCCTTTTTGCGATGCCTTTTTGCGTTATGCCTCTTTGCGTACTGCCTTTTTGCGTGTTGGCTCTTTGCGTGTCACTCTTGAAAGATACCAGCAAGAGCTTGGTAAGGACTTTAAGAGGATAACTTTATACATATGCACAAAATCTGATTATCATTTGCATGAGTGTGGTGGATACCTTGAATATGAAGAGCCGGATAAAGGAAAGTGTGTTGATGTTGACAATTTTGAGAATGTTGTGGTTAGTGACGACTCAGACTTTGAGCAACCAGGGACCAGGGGACACTCCTCTGAAAAACAGGGCTATGTTAAAGATCATGAAGAACCTAACAGTGCTCAGATAAGAAGTGACCATGACGTGGCTCTGGCGTTGCACAAAAGCATCAACAATGAAGATGATGAGGAGGGGGACCTATGTGCCATGGTACCTACCCCAAATGATGCTGGGTCTTACCCTGCTGTGTCTGACCCCGCATCAGTTGTGAAATTCCTCCAAAATAACGTCATTGACGATTGTCACCTCTTTTTGACAATGCGAAGAGAGATAATTCTTAGTTGGGTGGTGCAGTTATGGCAGCGTGAACTGAAAAAAAAGCCTGTGGAGTACAAACTTTCCATTAAGGACTTAGGGGAAGAAGGTATAGACACTGGTGCATTGTCTAGAGAATTTTTTGGCTGTGATTAGTGATATTGCTAAGATTGTGTTCTCAAATGGAAGTCCAGTACATTCAACACTGTTCATTCAGAATGGAAATTTCCGAGTAGTACGAGAGATTGTTGCAGCCAGTCTCGCACAAAGTGGACCTCCACCATGCTTCTTGAAAGAGTCAACTTACAATATGTTAGTGGATCCAAGTGTTGACCTCAGAAGTCTTGATAAAGAACGTCACCTGAAACCAATAGAGAGAGAACAGATTGACAAAATCAAAGGTGATCTTGATAATTATCATGACATCATTATTGATCACGGATATACTGGCCCAATCAAGAAGGATATGATGGATGACATCATTGGCTCTATAGTTCTTAGCATTGTCAGCAGAAAATTACTCTCCTTGGGTGAGTATGGCCTAAAAGACCTCCTTCCAGACCATCCTGAGTCATGCAGACCTCTTTTTATAATGGGGCACGTTGACGCTGTTGATGCCAGCTTCTTGGATGGGCTTTTGGAGCCAGAATTTTCTGACATGGGAACCCCAGAGAGAACTGTGGANCCAATAGAGAGAGAACAGATTGACAAAATCAAAGGTGATCTTGATAATTATCATGACATCATTATTGATCACGGATATACTGGCCCAATCAAGAAGGATATGATGGATGACATCATTGGCTCTATAGTTCTTAGCATTGTCAGCAGAAAATTACTCTCCTTGGGTGAGTATGGCCTAAAAGACCTCCTTCCAGACCATCCTGAGTCATGCAGACCTCTTTTTATAATGGGGCACGTTGACGCTGTTGATGCCAGCTTCTTGGATGGGCTTTTGGAGCCAGAATTTTCTGACATGGGAACCCCAGAGAGAACTGTGGAGGATCAGGTTATAGATAACTTTGAGAACTTTCTTCACAAGCATGAGGATGAACAGATTTTTGTATTCTGAAGGATTTTAGAAGCGAATGTGGAACAAATAAACACACGTGCGTATACCAAGAACATATTTGGCAACTGTTTATTTCACCTTCTTACATCATCTTACATCACGTGACCATTACCACCCAAAATACCAGATTTCCTCCTTCCTATACAGTTTTCAGAACACTCAACACAACTTACAAAGAAAAACTATAAATCTAATCAGTCTGGACGATTGATCACCCGTCCTGAACGCGTAACCACTTGACATGGTCTGGATTCAGAGTGACTAGGCATGACAGGTTTTGTAAACACTTGGTCTGCACTGCGAAGTCCAAAGTTGTTACCCGCTCTCTACGTTACTATCATCATCAACAGCAGGTACAGCAATGACACTAGACTTAAAGGAAATCTCATTGTCTACTTCAAACTAAATTCGTAACCTTGTTTTGGGAACGACAGGTTCTCTCTCAAAATCTGAGGGTGGATTATGCTCTACCATTTCTGGTGTGAAGATTTCCTTATGGGCACTCTTTCCTCTGGCCTCATCAGGTATCAAGTGATTAGCATGCACATAGCGACTATCATTACACGGAACTCGAACAAGGTAGGTATCTGGACCCTTCACAGCCACAATTGTACCCGGTATCCATTTCTCTTTCCCTCCCCTGGTGTTTTTTACTCTAACTGGTTGATACAAAATCAAACCTTCGCCCCTTGGGGTGCAACCCATCCCTGTATAATTTTGAAGCAACCTGTTTCTTTTCTACATGCCTTTGTAAACTGGGTTTCACCAAGGAGAGGTGTGTTCTGGGTTCTCTCTTCAAAAACAGTTGTGCAGGAGTCTTGAATGTTGTGGTGTGGGGTGTGTTTCTGCAGCGGAAGAGGACATTAGCCACCCTGTGCTGAACTGACCCTTATCAGTTTAAGACTGATAAATGGCCTTGAAGGTCTGCACATGTCTCTCAGCTAAACCATTAGTGGAGGGATGATATGGGGGACATAAAGTGTGCTTGATGCTATTCATCTTTAAAAATGACTTGAACTCTCCAGCAACAAATTGTGGGCCATTGTCCCTGACTAATTCATGTGGCAATCCATATCGAGCAAACAGAGCTCTTAAAGCCTCTATGGTAGCATTTGTTGTAGTGCTGGTCATAGGAAAGACTTCCATCCATTTAGAGTGGCTGTTAACCACAAGAAGAAATTGTTGACCCTTCACCTCAGCATAATCAACATGAATTCTTTGCCAAGGTTCAGTCGACCAAGGCCACAATAATAACGGGCATGATGTACCTTAGTACAAAGATGACAAAGTCTTACTTTGTCCTCTATATCAAGGTCAATACCGGACCACCACACAAAGGACCTGGCAAGTGTTTTCATACGGCACATCCCTGGATCGCACTCGTTTAACTCTTTCAATAAGCGTTTTTGGAATTTGAATTGTATGATGACACGTCTGCCCCATGAGAGACATCCGTTTTCCAAAGAAATCTCGTCTCTACGATTCCAAAATGGTTTGAACTCTGGACTTGGGCAACTACCAGGCCAACCAGGGGAGGTACATTCATACACGTTTACAAGCAGGCTATCTTTTTTTTGTACCTTTTGCTATCTCTGCTGCTGTGAAGGGTAATTCATTTGTTGTGGTTGCACACAGTGTTTATCTGGATCCAAATCATCATCAGCCTGAGATTGTATGGGAAATCGACTGAAAAAATCTGCATTTGCATTGCCAGCAGAGTCTGAATACAATGTCAAAATCATATCCAGACAGGAGATCAGCCCAACGTTGCAAACGAGCTGCAGCCAAAGGAGGAATGCTAGATTTAGGACCAAAGATACGAGTTAGGGGTTGATGGTCAGTTACCAATGTAAATTTCCTGCCATAGAGGTAAAGTTGAAATCTTTTAACACCAAAAACTATGGCTAACCCCTCTTTTTCTATCTGGGCATAATTCTTTTCAGCAAAGCTAAGTGTGCGAGAGGCAAACTCCACCGGCTGCTCACTGCCATCTTCCATGCGATGACTCAACACAGCTCCAATCCCGTATGGATTGGCATCTACACTCAGGATGAGAGGTTTTTGGAGGTCATAATGAACCAAAACCTGCTTACTCGAAAAAACTTCTTTAGCCCATATAAAAGCCGTTTCACATTCTTTGGTCCAAAACCACTCAGTGTTGTTATTGAGAAGCTGATACAATGGGTGAAATTGGATGAAAAATCTTTGATGAATTTTGAGGAGTAATTCAGCATTCCTAAAAACGACCTCATCTGGGAGACATCTTTAGGTCTAGGGGCCAATCTAATTGCGTCCAGCTTGCTATTAACAGGACTGATTCCATGTTTACTCAAAACATGGCCCATATACTTCACTTGAGCTTGGAAGAGCTGACATTTTCCGCCATTTAACTTAACATTGTGTTTTGCCAGTCTGCTAGACCTGTTTGATAATTCCCATGTGAGTAGTGACTCCACCTGATGTTGCCACCAGAATGTCATCCACTCTCACCATCACACCCTTAATACCAGACAGGATCGAGTCCATGACCGTCTGAAACTGAGACCTTGAAGTTTTTTAACCAAAACACAATCGCTTGGATTTGAATAAACCTTTTCGAGTGTTGATGATGAGTAACTTAGTTGACTCTTCATCCAAAAATAATTGGTTGAAAGAACTGGCCAAATCAATTGCTGAAATGGTATCAGGGCTAGCTCAATCCTGAGATAGCATGGCAAACATGTCTTGTACATTAGGTAATTTATACACGTCATCCTCTATACACTCATTAATTGCCTTATAATCCCCACACACTCTTATGGAACCGTCAGATTTAGGGACATGCACTACAGGGCCTGTCTATTACTACTGGATACCGGATACAAAATATCTGACTGCACGAGTCGATCATACTCTTTTTCAACTTTTTCTACGAGGAAGTAGGAGACTGGCCTATTCTTCATGAACACCGGTTTAGCACCCTCTTTAAGCTTCAATGAACCAATGAAACCCTTGATGCCAGAGCCTTGACTGCTGAATAATAAATGGTTAAATTCAGCAGGAAAGGTCTCCGATTTTGGAACAGAAAACGTATCCTTAATGACCTCTTCCTTTACCCTAAACATGTTCTTCCAATCTAGTTTTATTCTACTTAACCAGTCTCGCCCAAACAATGCAGGGAGATTTCCTTCGACAACAATTAAATCAAGGACTTTTTCTTGATTATCATACTTCACTGGCACAGAAATTTTTTCCAATACAGGAATCTTTTCACCTGAATAACTACGCAAAATTATTCCCGCATGCTGAAGGGTATAATTAGATAATACAGAATCATACACACGCTTTGACACTGTAGAACGAGATGCCCCCGTGTCTACTTCCATCCTCCAGTTAACTTTTGTCTTACCTAACTGAACATTTACTACATACGGATTGACGCTATTTACAGACTCGGTCGACAAATGGTCAGTTCCAGTTTTGTACAACCCAAAAGCTGCCTCCACGGTCGTGTCACTCACATGATTACCTCTTTCCATAATTCCATCATCAGAATTGCTTTCGCAGCTGTTCAGCCTAACATACTTTTGACCACGTGATCTTCCTTTAAGCTGCATTTGCGACGGTAGGGCTTTACACACTGGACGAATATGACCTTTCCGCTTACAGTGATGACACGTAGCATTTCTGAATTTGCATGATTCTGAACGATGCTGCACGCTTCCACATGACTTGCATTTGTCTGCGTTTTCACCACTCTGCGCTTTGCTATGTCCAGAAGTGTTATTTCTTCCTCTAAAAGAAGAAATATCCTGAAACTTATTGGCCTCACCACCAGCCGACTCTCCCATGTGCTCCATGTCCGCCTTGCCTGCCATTTAATCTGCAACACACTTGTCATGTGCAACCGCGTAGGTCAAATCTCTTATCGACAGGGGGTGACGTTGAGTTTTGGACATTTTTGAATGTAATCCAGAAACTAGTCTGTCTCTTAGGGCTTGAGATAGAAATTCGCCGAAGCTGCAGGTCGAAGCCAATTTCTCCTGTGTAACGACGAATTCTGATACACTCTCGCTCTCTCCCTGTGACGTAGTCCAGAACTTGTGTCTTTCAGCAATAACAATGGGAGCAGGTTCGTAGTATCCCTGCAAAAGCTGCGTCAACCGTGTAAACGTCTTTGTATTTGGATTGTCTGAATCGCAGAAATTCTTCAACAACTTGTAAGCGTCTGGACCAATAACAGCCAGAAAAACATTCACTTTTTTGTCATCGTCGATGTCATTCGCCACAACATATGCTTCAAATCGATCGGCATAATCACTAAATTTCTCGGACTACTCGTCAAAAGGACCCAAATTACCAATGATTGCAGCCATGTGTACACTCTGTTTACATTGAGGATCCCATCCTCGTCGCCAATTTTGTATTCTGAGGGATTTTAGAAGCGAACAATGAGGAACAAATAAACACACGTGCGTAAACCAAGAACATATTTGGCAACTGTATATTTCACCTTCTTACATCATCTTACATCACGTGACCAATACTACCCAAAGTATCACACAGATAACAGGCTATTCATCAGCAGTGGCCTGGAATTATGGCTCTGATTTGCTATAAGGAAGTGGAGAAGGTGATGTTACAGTGGATGAAGAGAAGTATGAGGAAGCAGAGTTATGTGCAGCAGGCGTTATGCAGTGGCTAACTGGGCAACGACACTGAGAGATAACTGGTGGCACCTTGAAAATAAGTGTGAAGTTTAATCACACTTGCAAAGTTGAAAGGCCAAATCATAGAGTATATTTGTCTTATGTTGGGGCGTGCGAAATGGAAATAACATTTCCTGTGATTCACATGACCAAGTATGATGAATTTGAGAACATTTTCCTACTGGCATATTGAAAGGGACAAGCTTTTGCCAGGCATTAAATCACAGGACAAAAAACGCGGCAACTAAAGCAATACACTTAATACAGTTTTAAGTTATTGAACAAGGAGACGAAGCTTAACTTATAAAAACT